CCCAACCCCCTGAAAAAACGGGAGATAAGATGAGCTGCAGCTGTAGAATAAAAACGTGGTCAGAATCAGATTTCTAAGAACGTCCCAGAGGCAAGTAGGGAGATGACAGACAATAGACAACGATAATTCTTACAATAATGGCGCTGATTGAGCCGCGTGCAGATGTAAGGAGAAAACGAAATGTCGGGAGCAAGTGGCTCGATGCTGTTAGGGGAAGGAAGTGATGGATGAAATGATCAGATGAGACATAATTACACTTTCATTCGATGCCCGTTTGGGAACATTGTATTACAATGAAATACGAGCATGCTACAATTTATCTATAAAACTGTTTATCAGCTTTATGCTATGGAGATTATCAATAAATGATGTGTCTCTTAATTCCAATACGTTGGTGGTTGGCGGATGCTCTGGTGTGGTCTGCTTCTTCTTTTCTATCAAGCATCTATTGTCCTTATCTCCCCTTCTTCTTTTTTATGTTTGTTACTCTCTTGCAACACCTGTAATCTTCTGGCGCTCATGAGACCATATTAGCGCCGTAAAACCTCTACTTAACCTAAACTAAAAATTCCAACACGCTGTGGCAGGTCGCCACTGTGATGAGTTCGGGATTCGAACCAGTGACATCTGCTCAGTGGTTCCGCGTGATACCAAGTCAGCTAACGGTAGGCCTGGAATAGAGAATGGAAAATGGAAAATGGAAGTAGTCATGACAACTACATGTATTGTAAGTGATTTTATTGAAGGGTTGTTGTTGTTGTTGGTTTTTTTTGTTTTTGTTTTGTTATTTTTTTTTGGGGGGGGGTTGTTTTGTTTTTAACTCCTCTTGAAGTCCATCTCAAGACAATTCACGCCGTTTCCCACAATTTGTCTTTCGCGGGAGTGATGTCTGAAATTTCACACCCTAAAAATACCGTAAAAGATGTCTGGAATATTTTACAGATTCCACAATTGACAGAAGCAGCGAATGTAATTGACGCCCCCCACTGGGTGTTGTTGACGCCTTCTTTCCTATCAAACATCTGTCGTCCTTATCTTTCCACCTTTTTTCCTGTGTATGCAACTCTCTAGTAGCACCCCTAGTTCCCAGAACGTGCACAATATACCAGTGTTGCAAGAGTAGTAAACTTACTAATACTAAATTCTTAAAAGTACTAACAAAACAAAAACACAACAACACCCCCCCCCCATTTTTTTCACTAAAAACACAAAAAAACAAAACCAAAAAACCAAAAAAATAAACCAAAAATAAAACAAA